AATATGATCCCAATCCTGTTCCATGGGCGCGAAGGACATAACCCGCAGAGAAAAAGGATGCGCGGGAGTGCCTTGATGAAGTGGCGAAGCCGAACATAAATTGAATACAGTAATCCTCTTAGCGGAGTTTAAATCTGCCGCCATTTGTACGGTGTGAATCGTGGTTATCCAAAGAACCTTCTCTCGGCCGAGACGCGATGACATAAACCGATCACGTTCGAAGAGGAACTCATGTCGATAAACCCTTTTTTTCCTTCTTATGAAAGATCTCCTTAGGCGGGCACGCGTGGAAAGAAAGCAGGAGGAAGAGACGGAGTAAGAGAGAGAGAAAAAAAACAGACGGAAGGAGGGAAAGAGACATCGCCAGTCACCGTCTCATTGACCGGTTTATTATTCATTAACGAGCTCGAACTCCCACAGCAACAGATAAAAGCTTCAACAGGTGTGGTCGCGACGCGGCGGTTGTGGGTGGGTGGGAGGGGAAGGGAGAGGTGGGAGGGAAGGGGAGAGTGGGAGGGGGGGGAAGGGGGAGGGGAAGGAGGAGAGGGGCCGACAAACAGCGGCGGGTGTCGCACGGTGGCCGCATCGCCTCATGTTTGATTTTCACATGTGTCCGGATCCAGGGCCACGACCCTTTCACATGTGTCGCGATACCTGTTCTTATTTGGTTACTCGCTCGGGGGGCAGGGGCCAGGGGGGGGGGGGGGAGGAGGGAAGGGGTTAATTCGGACACCTAGGTCGCCATAAATTTGTTTGGCGAGTGTCCACTTTGCTCCCGATTTGAATGGGATGGCGTGTTGCGGGTTTTAAATTCTCGGCGTGTGTGTCTGTTTGTTAGTGGGTTTTCACATGGGCGATGACAGGTCGAATATCATCCGCTAATGAAAGGAATGCATATGTAATTAATTGGAAAATAACACCTATGGGCATGATAAACAGAAACGGAATGATGAGAGATATAGGGGACGAGGAGCCGGGGGGAGGGGGAGGAGGGGGGGGGTGAGGAGGTGGGAAGGATGAACCTAAAGATGATGCAAGACCTAAGGGTTATGTCTCGTCGCTCGTCTGCCTGCCTTTTCTCTTTACAGGTACAGTATTTTGGGCTTTAATTTAGAGAACGTGCTGTATTTTTTTCCTATATGTCCAACATCTGCGTTTTGTTGTCGGTCGTAGTTTTTGTGTCGCGAAGGCGCCGTTTGGCCGATCGTCTGGGGCCTTCCCTTCTGCCGGAGGGCTCGTGGCGGGGTCTGGCTCTCGTCACAGGCGGGCGGGGCGGCGCGGCGGCGGCGGCGGCCTGCGCGGAGTCATTTCCTGAGGCTCGTGAGAACAAGGAGGGAGGCGGACCTGCTGATTGCGAGGGATCTCTTCATTATTCTTCTGGGCAGGAGAGAGAGAGAGAGAGAGAGAGAGAGAGAGAGAGAGAGAGAGAGAGAGAGGAGAGAGAGAGAGAGAGAGAGAGAGAGAGAGGAGAGAGAGAGAGAGAGAGAGAGAGCGAAAGCAGAGACAGACGCACAGAGGGTGACCCTCATCCTGTGCGGTGGAAGCGGCCTGCCATCAATGCACTGCCTTGCCCTACTATACAATCCCTCGCGTAACATTTACTCATCCGGTAATGGACCTTTGCGCCATCCAAATACCAGGCGCTGCGCACTCAGGCGCTATTGTCTCGGCGCAGGCAGCGTATTCGGGGGAAACCAGGTCTCCGCTCCTCCTCTGTCCCGCCGCCTGTCCGGACTCGTCAACTTCAAAATGACTTTTTTTTACGGTTTGCGTGTCTCTATCCCTATGCCTATCGTGGTTTCCGTCTATATTTTTTCTTAATTTTCTCTCCTTTTCTCTTTCTTCTCCTGCTGCAGCGAGAACAGGGAGGGGCTTGAAGGGCGTTGCTTCGGCCGCGTTCCTCAGGTGGCCTCCTGCTCCCGACGTGTTTACTTTTCATAAGCCTCTCTCGGCGTGTGTTTGCCGGGCATCGAGGAACCTGCGAGCGCCGCTGTGTTGTTGTTGTGTAATACGAACTCCTCTCGCACACGTCAGTCCTGCTCTGTTTTCCCCTTTCGCTCTCCCTTCCCTAACTTCCCCTTTCTCTCTCTCTCTCTCTCTCTCTCTCTCTCTCTCTCTCTCTCTCTCTCTCTCTCTCTCTCTCTCTCTCCTCTCTCTCTCTCTCTCTCTCTCTCTCTCTCTCTCTCTCTCTAGCTATCTATATCTAGCTATCTGTCTATCTGTATATTATATATATATCTATCTTTCTCCTCTTTCCTCTCTCCTTCCCTCCCCCCCCTCGCTCCCCTCCTCCTCGGACGCACCAAGCCAAGCATTACCGGGAACCGCAGGAGGTGTTTGGCCAAAGGAGCAGGACGAGCGAGAGGGTAAATTGGTCCTCATAAGGAGAGAAGTGTTGGGGCGCGGCGGGAGGTTCAGTGGTTCAGGAGGCGTCGGTGATGGTAATCGTCTCGGAAAAAGGTTCTAAGGAGAGAGGGTCCTGTCGAGGAGAACCCTTGGCCAGTGCAGGAACCCCCGCGGCCACTGCAGGAGAAAACCGAGGAACCACTTAAGCGAAGCGCAGCTGGCTCCGTGTGTGTGTGTGTGTGTGTGTGTGTGCGTGTGCGTGTGTGTGTATGTATGTTTATGCATGTGTGTGTGTCTGTGTGTGTTCGCTTTCCTCCAAATAAGCCACTTCTCCCCACCCCCCACCCCCACCCCTTCTGCTCGCGATTCCTACGCTAATTTGGCTTTTTTGCCGAGCGAGCGAGGACGTCCAAGGGCGGCCCAGTATTTACACGCCGCGTTACGTCAATGTTTGTTGCTTGTCTGTTTGAACTCGGCCAAAAACTCGAAAAAGGTTGGAAAGAGTTGGCGTAGGCCTACCTCTGCTTTCGGGGCTGGGCGTGGAGAATCCTTCCCACCATGAATTATGCAAATGAGAACTGAATTTAAATCAAGAAGTCGGTACATGTGTCTAATAATGGGCCTTTTCTATCATCCCGGGCCTGGCTAATGGCGGGGGCTCGCTGCCGCATTATCATAATGACGTATTAATGGCCGGAGCAGGAGCACGGGCCCCGAGAAGCACGTGGCTCCTTCACATGGACCGAGGCCGTGCGCTCACGTGCTTGGGCGCAGGTGACCCCGGACGCCGCCGCATGTGACTCCTTCTGCTAGCCTGACCTCGTTAGACCTCCAGTTGACCTTTGGTGATTTTAGGATCGAGGTGTAAAGGCAGTTCGTTATATCTCGTCAATATGTGATGCCCATGCTAATGTGACCTGTAACCCGGTGTGGTTTGCGGCGTGTGACCCTTATCTGTCCGTATCTTGACCCTTAAAAGGTCATTGTGGGTTAAGCCAACTCACACCTCGGCACAGGTCAAGTCCCGGTGGAATGACCCAAGTTTTAATCCCCGACCTGAGGTCACCCTTTGCCCTCCCCTTCCTTAGTGTCCTGTCAATCTACCTCATTACCTTTGCATTTTCCTATTTCCTTTTGAGTCCTGCCGGAGATGCCGTTTATTATTTTTTTCATATTTATATTTATCTACCTACACCAGATATATATACGTTTATATATTAAACATTATCGCATCTTAAGTTCTAAAATGAAATACGTTTCGCATATATGAGTAAAATGACAAACCCTTCGTAAAAAAGCAGGATAAATATTCCAGGGTACCTCTCATCTGACCTGACTTGACCTGTGTAGACCAAAGCATTGGTGAGCGATCTTGGCGGGTCACAGCTGTCTTTGGGTGACCTGAATGAACAATATTGTCCTCTATATATTTCCTGTACCCCCCCCCCCACCCTCCCCTCCTCCTCCCGATACCAAAATGTACTAATATCACTTCTCTTTGTTTATCTCACGGACCTTCGTTCACATCCTGTTTTGGAAGAATTTGTTTGGCTTATATTAACTTATATAGTTTAGTTACGTTTTTGCGCGATAGTTGTTTTTTTTTTTCAGGGTGTTCGGGAAAGGGTAATTATCATGATTGGTTAATTAAATGGGCTTTACGGCCGTGCGGATGTTGGTAGCATATGGCCGGCCCGAGCGAGTTATTAGCGAAGTGTTCGGTCGCGTTTTCCTTCGCTCGTAATGATAAGAACGGACATTTCGCTGTAACTTTTTTGCGCAGAACGGACATTTCGCTGGTCTTTTTTGTCCGTTTATTCTGTCGTATTGTGACGTTTTTAAAAGGGAAAATTCGCAGCCGCTTTGAGGTGTTTAGGACTAACTCTGTAAGGCTTAATTTTTTCTCTTTGTGTGTCTTCTTTTCCAAAGAGATGCAAAAGGGTGTTTTCTTAATAAGCAAAGCGTCTGTTCGGCTCTGAATATGATTTTTTCTTCCTTTTTCTTCCTCTCTTCACACACTGCCGCGGTACCCATTTCGAGCTTCTTTGAAGAGCCACGTCTCCCTCTCTCTCTTTTTTTCTCCCTCTATCTCCTCGGCCTCGTCCTTTCAGCTCCTTTATTTTGGTAAACGGCAAAATTGCTACCTGCGCCGCGCATAATCACAACCCTTCCGGAGGTGATTGTGGTTCTTGGTGCCGGGCGCAGGTGGTGGTCTCCTGCCGGGGCCCGCCTCCGCCTTCTGCCTACAGAGGGAGGCCCTTGTGCGCTGCCTCTGTGCTGGGTTAGGCCTAGGGCGCGCCGCCTCCCGGCCAGGCACGAGGGCGAGGTGGCCCTGCTTGTGGGAATCTCTTTCCGGCGATTTAGAGCAAGCAGGGATGAATGGGTCTGCCGCCTCCTTTGACCGAGAGGAAGGGAAAAATTGATGGATTATTTTTAGGTCTGGGTGTGTATGCGCGCGCGCGCGCGAGTGTGTGTGTTTGCGTGCGTGTTTTTGTATGTTCCAGTCCATTTCGTCATGCATGTGGGGCAGTCTAGCGGAAGAAACACAACCCGACATCACAGCTTTAATCTTAAATATCTATCAATACATATTCTTTTCACCATTAATCATTCTTCCGCCGTCTAACACCGGGTTCTCCCTTTGTGCCCAACAGAGCTGGGAACTCCTGCTGGTGTCCAAGCTCGGCTGGGACCTGTCTCCTGTCACGGCCGGCGACTTCGTGGACCACCTCCTGAACCGGGTGCCCGTCCTGGCGCGGGAGCCCATCGTCAGAAGACACGCCACCACCTTCGTCGCCCTCGCCGCCACCGGTAAGCTACGGACGGGGTTGTGCCTCGGCCTCGGGATGTGCTGGTGTTGAGACGAGAACTTTTACCATTTCCGTAATTGTTTTAAACTCAGGATGTTGTGAATTCGCGTATATTAAGGTCAGAAAGAAGGCTTTGATCATCACACAGCACATCCCGAAGTCCGAGCAAGTTTCTGTTATTTAAAACGTTCCCATGTTTGGCGCGATAATTCCACCACACAACAGAATCGCGTGAAGTACAGCAATGTCGCAGCTCCCGTGTTATCTGTTATCATCACGGATGGCGTAGGTGTTATCGTGTTTATGAGCCACTGTTTTATGTCAACAGCGCCGCTCCAGCTGATAGACAAAGCGACCCGAGCAGCTGTCAGGATTTAGGAGCTTATCTGCGTGTTTTGTCACGGGCTCTACTTTATTGTCCGGTGATATATTATTAGGCAATGCTCATTATGACCAAAAAATCCCCTGCGCGCACGTGGGCCCTTTCAACTGTGGACGGGGCGAGGTGGCCGCGATCCACGGGAATTTTGCTCGTCGACTCTTCGGGAATCTGGGAATCGCTTCGTTCCAAGGGGAATCGTTTCTAATTCGCCATGCTGTTAGATCCGACATGGGTCCTTAACCGGGCTAATTATGATGATTGTGTTAGAGGATAAAATGATGTTGCATTAATATTCATGTAGTCGCGCAACACCGGCCTCCCGAGCGAATTGCCCTGACCCTCCCGATCGATCGACCAATCAGGAGCCAGCATTCGACATGTGTCTTTACGGGTTGCCTCGTGTTGTCCACGCCGAGTGGCGCCTTTCTTTTTCTTTTCTATTGAAATAATGCGCGTTTTGTGATTAGATACAAGTATAATTCAGAGAAAAGTGTAACAATCTAAAAGTCGTGATACCGTCCGATACGCAGCATAAAAGTCTCGTACGTGTAGGCACCCTCCTCCTGGCGCGTTCCACGGACCAATGAGCGGCCGCGAACATCCAGCTGGCACCCGCCACCGGCCAATCAGCGCGCTCCCAGCCCAACAGATGGACGTGAATACAACCTATCAAAACTCAGCCGCGACCCATAGACCCGTTCGGACGGCTGGTGTATTTTAGAGGGAACAAAATGCACTTATTGAACGCAGTGGATTGCACGATGACAAGGGACGCCCCCCTTTCCTACACAACGCGATAAAATTCAGTAGCCTCGAGTATTTCATGTAAGAGTTGCCTCCTTTGGGGCGGGCACCGAAACATACCCTCGGACGCCCCGAGTGTCAGATGCCCGCCGGCAGATGTGGGTTGTGTACCCTCACAGTATAGTCCAATTCGTGGTGTATTCAAGGGTATTGATGGGTGACGACGGCTGTGAGCTGGAACACCTGAACTTCAGAAGTGTGCGGGGCCTGTCAGCGCAGCCGCGGGTGTACTGTTACACTGCGCTGGTACACCCATTACCCTCTGTTTGTACATCTTGCGGGCCTTCTGGGCGTCGTTAGTGCGCTCCTTCCGCGTCATGGATAGGCCCAGCTGGACTGCGAAGTTTGAGTTTGTTTTCAGTCCTTTTCGAACGCTGCAGTTTCCCCTTAATCCCGCCCGCCACCTGGCGCCGGCGGTCGCAATCTCTCTGCATTAGTTACACGTAGGGAGAAAGAGAGAGAGAAGGATAAGCTAGAAAAAATATATATGTGCCTTAGCCTCAGCGTACAAATAAATGCAGGATAAAATACCGCAACGCATTAAAAAGTAATTTGTTCAGCTTGACATTGAAAGAGGGATTGGAAGGAAGGGGAGAAAGGATAGAGGGAGGGGGAGGGGGGATAAGGAAGGCGACGTCAAGCCCTGAGGATGTCATGGATGCAGGTCTTAGCGAAGAGGAGGAAAAGGCGACGAGGAAAGAGGAAGACCAGCTTTTACTCTTAAAAAAAGAGGAAAACTAACCTTCTACAGCTGTGGGAACTTTTTTTCACACTAACCCGCCTTCTTCTGTGTGTAAACAGAGCTCCGGCCTCACGAAAGTCTCGCCTCTAAGAGTGGACGGGCTGAGTGGGTTCTCCCTTTGATATTTTTTCCTTCCCCTCTTTGGCGTCTCTTTTAGGGGGGTCTTAACGTCCGAAGAGGTGACGTGATCTTATTTCTTTTTCCTTTGGACAAAATCGTATTTTTTTCCCCCGAAAGTTATGATTCGTCTTTGACTTTTATTATTTTTTTCTCTCCTTTTTACTCTTATCATTTGTTTTACTGCGTCTCCTTACGCCAGGACTCTTGGATGTGCGGGCGTCCCCTTCCTCTCCCTCTTTCTCTCTGTCTCTTCTCCCTTTTTTATCACCCCTTGCTCTTTATGCTCCGTTTAGCCATGCTCCTCCTGTCCACCTTTCTTTTTTTTCTTCCTCTCTCTTTCTTTCTTGCAGCTCTTCAAAGGGTCATCGTTTATTTAGCTCTCCCCCCTTTCTCCCCCTCTACCTCCCCTCCCTTTGGTAATTAGCATCTGAATATCTCCCAGCAGCATCCTGTGGCATCCAGCATCACTTCGGGAGATGAAATTGTTGCTTGGGTGTAATGAGCGGATGTTTGGGCGGGGGAAACATACGTGCACGCTCTATATGGTGTTTCTCTTCACTCTCTCTCTTACATCTCTTCTCTTCTCTTCTCTCTCTTCTCTTCTCTTCTCTTCTCTTCTCTTCTCTTCTCTTCTCTTCTCTTCTCTTCTCTTCTCTTCTCTTTCACTTTCGGAAAAGACGGAAAGTTATTCGCCATCACCTTGGTTACCTTCCTCCTTCCCTACCCCCTTCCCTCCCTCCCCCATCCCCCCCCCCGCCATCATGAGCCTATTGTCAAGATTCCTCATCGAAACATGGCGGTGTTGGGCCTATGCCTCGAGCGTCCGTTATACCCATTATGAGAAAAGTCCCCCCCCTCCCCCCCCCTCCCCTCCTCCCCCCCGACGCGCAAAAGAAATGCAAAACGAACTCTCTTCCCATCCCAGAGAACTTCCCTTTTCATTGCAGTTTATTGCTTGGTTCACAACACTGGAGGGAATGATTGACTCCCTTAACCCCTCCCCCCCCCACCCCTCCTCTCCGGAAGCCCCCGGTCCTAGGCCTATAGAAATCGGCTGATGGATATGCGCTCTAAAAGTCGATATAAATTAGTAATCATAAAACCGGCAGGCGACATGGCTATTAGCGAGGCCCTTCCCCCAGACACTGGGCGGCGGAGGAGACTAGCAATCGACTCATATTTTATGCTAATTGATGTCTCGAGCAATTTGTTTGGGACGCGACTCGAACGCCAATTGTACGTGAGAGAGGGAGAAAGGGAGAGAGAGAGAGAGAGAGAGAGAGAGAGAGAGAGAGAGAGAGAGAGAGAGAGAGAGAGAGAGAGAGAGAGAGAGAGAAAGAAAGAGAAAAGGAAAGGAAAGAAGAGAGAGAGAGAGAGAGAGAGAGAGAGAGAGAGAGAGAGAGAGAGAGAGAGAGAGAGAGAGAGAGAGAGATTAGGAGAAAGCGTACGAGAGCGAAAGAGAGAAAGAGAAGAATGGAAGAGGGAGAGACTACGCAGGTCCCTCCTAAAGAATACTAAACTCTGTGTCCCTTCTTTCCTCCCCTCCCCCCCCCTCGCCCCACCCACCCAGGGGCTCCGCGCAGCCAGCAAAAACACCCCTCTACTTGTGGGGGTAAAAAGTTCCTCCAGTGTTCACTCGGCCATAAGACTTTTTGCACGATTTTGCAAATGAATGAACGCATTTACAACCTCACAAGAGTCTGCTGGAGTCTCTTCAATTGCGAAATTAGGGCACCGCAAATAAATCATTTTTTTCTCCGTTATTTTCATTTTTTCTCATTTCGTTTTTCGGTCACCTGTCCTTAGCCCTAATGTCGGCCTTCAGTCTCCCCTCAAAAGGAAGAAAAGAAAAGAAAGAAAAAAAGGGAAGTTAAATCATGTGCCGTCAAGATTTGCCCGCCATTGGCAAGCGATCCTTCAAGGACAAGAATTAATACCGTCTGAACAAGAAAACGGGAAAAAATCTCGTTTTCTTTGGGTCTGTGTCTCAACCGTCGGTAAAAGGCGACCTTGATCGATCTGAACCAGCCAGCCCTCGGGGGAGATTTAAGAATAATAACCTTACAAAAGAAAAATGAGAAAAGGGGCCCAAGGAAGAGGAGGGGATGGAGGAGGAGGAGAAGGAGGGCAGGAGGTGGAGGAGGCTGTCGTCTGTGAGGCACCGACGTCTTCCCGAAGATAAAGACGAAGCGAATGGCGACGGGGCACAGATGGCCGGCGGATTGGCAGCGGTCGCGTGGCCGCCGGGAACTCTCGGGACATTTTCCTCTTTCTCTTCCCCAAAAAGGCGTTTTCATAAATCGACGCGTTGGCAAAGACTGTGTCACCCTCCTGAATGTCGGGTGACTGGCTTTTCTCTCGCGCGAGAAAGGAGTAAGAGAGAGGAAAGAAAGGAAGAGGACCCGAAAGACACAGAACGCACAGACAGGTTAATGTTTCACTCAAGCGCCCTGCCCGTGCCCGAGACTTCCTGTCATTGTCTGCCTTAAACAGTCCCCGGTTTATGGCGTCCGGCACCCCCGCCCGACCGCACGACGCCCACCAAACTTACGAAAGAGCCATCCCTGTTATCTTAAGCATGCGACGCCCTTCAGGTGGTTGCGGGAGGAAGCTGTGGCCGCCGACGACGACTCCGCGACGGACGACCTGCGGACCGATCGACGACATGAGGAGGGGAGGGGGGGGGAGGGGGAGGGGGCCAGGAGGAAAGGGACAGTTTCATTTCCTCTTTTTTAAGGACATTCCTGAGGCGCAGACGGCGACTTCGACGCGCCCGTAAATACCTATCTTCATCGTCTTCCTCCCGATCGCCATCTTTAATCATCTGTTATTATTCTTGTCGTCCGCTTATTCCTCCCTCCTTCCTCGTCCTCGCCTCCTTCCTCCTCCTCCTTCTTATTCGGAGCATAATTACGTATCATAACACTCCCCTTTAATTAATGACGGGTCCGTT